ACTAAATATTAAAATATTTCTTCTACAAACTTCTGTTTAGAATTGAAACTGTTAATGTGTAAAGCTCATTAATCTAAAACTAGATATGTTTACTAGGTTAATCAAACTATTTTCCATTCACTGTGAAATCCTGCGAATCGTACATAAAAACATGACAAACAAAGGTGATAGCATTGTAGTAATGTCAAAACATCGCATGGGATTCGACGAGCGCAAAAGTATTTTGGTTGTATTTCCATGGTTCATAATGTGCTATACAAATTTGATGATGGTCAATTTTAATAATTTATTAATACCTCAACGCATTATTCCTCTCAAAGATTTTATTTCGACAGAAAATAAAGAAATTCAAAATCAAATCGCTTGATATTCGTGGCAGATGTGGCTATCACTTATTTTAGCACAACGCAATGCAATAAAAAATTACCTATTTCAGTAGATTTCATATTATTTGTGGCTTGTTTGTGAAGTAAACAATACACTAGGGTTAAATTTGAATATTAAGCCCTGAACAGTATAGCAGTATATAATAACAGACTGCTTTATAATAAAATGCATCACTTCACTTTAAACTATGCTGTAGAGAACAGTAAAAGTCTACATATCAAATTATGAGAGCATAAAAATACTCAGCTGTCCACCATTAATTCATGTGGATACCAGTACATTGTAAACTGTTCACAATGTAGTACATGGTGTACACAATTAATTCTTTGTGTTTGTAATTGAAGTTATATTTCATGACTGTGTAATTGGTCTATTTACCTTCTACTTAGAATATTTATGAATTACTCAAAATCTACATATTCGAGAATAACCCCCCCCCCCCCCCTCTTCTATTAAAATGCATGGTGAATATATGCACAGTATGGTTTCCGGATTTACAATTTATGTGGTTCTTTTTTTTTTTTTTCTTTTTTTAACAAACACTGTCATTATTGAAATAGTATTTGTCTTCCACTTGTATTTCCATTACATAGTTTAGATGTTATGTGTTAATAACATTGAAATTTAGAGTAATTACCTTGTCATGTAATATACCTTAAATTACAAACACCACAAAGAATCAACTAATTAGCTAATATACTACATGTAGCTACACAAATTTTGAAGCCGGGCATAGCTTTGATACTACATGTATTTGTTAACGAGGGGTAGAATTATGATATGAAATTTTGGAGCCAGGCTGGTTCCTAGCAACTCATCAAAGAAACAAAGATACACACAAAAATGTGATTGTGTTGCCAGTGACCAAACCTTTAGCTCTGTCGTAAATACTTCTATAGGAAGAGAACACTAGGTTTTTGGTTTCCTGTCACGTAAATACTTCTATAGGAAGAGAACACTAGGTTTCTGGTTTCCTGTCACGTAAATACTTCTATAGGAAGAGAACACTAGGTTTCTGGTTTCCTGTCACGTAAATACTTCTATAGGAAGAGAACACGAGGTTTCTGGTTTCCTGTCACGTACATACTTCTATAGGAAGAGAACACTAGGTTTTTGGTTTCCTGTCACGTAAATACTTCTATAGGAAGAGAACACTAGGTTTCTGGTTTCCTGTCACGTAAATACTTCTATAGGAAGAGAACACGAGGTTTCTGGTTTCCTGTCACGTACATACTTCTATAGGAAGAGAACACTAGGTTTCTGGTTTCCTGTTACGTAAATACTTCTATAGGAAGAGAACACAAGGTTTCTGGTTTCCTGTCACGTAAATACTTCTATAGGAAGAGAACACGAGGTTTCTGGTTTCCTGTCACGTAAATACTTCTATAGGAAGAGAACACTAGGTTTCTGGTTTCCTGTCACGTACATACATGTACATGTCTAAAAATCACTTTGTTGCACAACATTTTTGTATTTTATTTATTTATCATAATATTATTGAGGTACAATGTAATAACAAAATTCTTTGTACCTTGAAGACAAAACAACTATAACATTATCTGTTTATTTTCACTGCCAGGAATTTTCATTATTTGTTGATACATGGTACAAGGACAAATTTAGAAAAAATCGCTATATAGAGGATACTGTACTTGTATCCAATCAGTGAATATATTAATTAAACAAGTGTAGTAATTAGTTCTTGTTTAGATGAAGTCATGTATGTGTGCGTGTATCCGAAGCAGCATCTTGGACACCATTTACCTTACACATACTTAATATCTGATACATATGTAGTGATTAAATTATTTGGTTAAAGATGACAAACTGGCGGCCATTTTTAGCTCTGCTGAGTGACTGTCTGTCATCTTTTTACTATTTTTGACTTCTTCTTGAAAACTGCTTGTTTGTTGTAAAAATACATTGTAATCAGGTATTTTTACATGTTCGGAACCTGATCCGAGCATGTGTTAGCTGATTTACTTTAAACTTGGTAGAAGAAGCAACCACTTCTAAAGGTTGATGCTCATCACTTTGATTTGTAACGTCTTCTCAAGATGGCTGACTCAATCCATCTATCAGGTCAGTCAAGTACTGCAATGTTAAAAATGTTCACTATGCACAGGACTAAGAGCTAAATTATCCTTGAATGTGAATTACTTTGAGATTTAACATAAATAAAGTATATGCGTTGGACATTTATGAGTCACATGATTGGAACCTTTTTTGCTATGATATTGACAATTGTTTTCTCGCTATAAACGTGATATCGTATCTCCAGAGTGACAAAATACTACGAGATACAGGTTTTCACTCCAAAACTACTTTTATTACTCACTTTATAACAAACAACTTAATTCTATATGCTTATGGTCTTTACCACTGAATACACAGCAGGGACTGTGCATTACAAAATACTTGTTTTTATATAACATAATAATATTAATAATCATAAATTTATTGCATCCTTAGAAATAGTTTCCATTGGTTGACATCAATAAAAAACAAATTTATGTTTGGTGTCCAAAACATTCTACGAAGAAATGTTCTTCATTTTATCAAAAGGCCTGGAACATAACAAAATTTCTACATGAGTTTAATAAATTCAATATTAGAGTTAAAAATTTTGATATCATATTTATAATATGTATGCATTTCTAGCTTTTTCACCTGGGTTTCACTAGTGACATTAGAATCATTATTTGTGTGTGTGTCCCAAGTGTCTTTAATAGCACAATGGATTGATTAGCATATGGGAACACCATTCTTTGCACATGCGTTGCAGCCAGTTTATTGGCTACAATTAAACTAATAATGAATTGTTGGAACCATCAATGTTTTATTGAGACACGTTGACAACATTTTTACTAAATTGTTGGTTAGTTTTATCAGCAGTTTTTACATATCATGACAGTTAATCGGTAATCACTAATGGTGATTCAGTGGAGAAAATTAATCCTGTGCATTGCCGCTGTAAGGTTGGGAGAATTAGAAACGAGGAAAGCCTCTAATGTGAAAAATGAAAAACGAGAATGCACATTGGTGAATGCATAACACAAACATTCAGATTGAAAGTTTTCAAAAGTGTCTAGTCGTTAAATGAGGTATGTTTTAGCATTTTAGGAAGTGACTATATGTGTTTGTTAACGTAACAAAATCAAATTGTGTGCATGGACCAATCAGATTTGCTGTTTAGAAATGTAATATTACATGGCTTAATGTCACTGTTATTGTATGATACATGTTATAAATATATTACATGGCTTAATGTCACTGCTATTGTATGATACATGTTATAAATATATTACATGGCTTAATGTCACTGCTATTGTATGATACATGTTATAAATACGACCTCGGGACATTTTCACCGTTCCACAATTTATCTTTTTTCAGGCACTTGCAGATTTAATGAAATTTTTTCTCTTGTGGAAATTAGTGATTTACAGTTTGTATTGGAGATGAATGTGGTGAATAAGTAAAAACAAAAACTAACATTGGTACTAACATTGGAAATTAGTGATTTACAGTTTGTATTGGAGATGAATGTGGTGAATAAGTAAAAACAAAAACTAACATTGGTACATTGATTAATGTGATAAAATAAATGCATCTGATAAGCGAACAATCTGGTTATATGCTTGGCAGTTTGCCAAATGGTAGCTCAGCAATATGCATGCATACATTATTATTCAAATTGTTATCTTCAATACTATAATATTATTTAATTAAAAACAAAATATTATTATAGTTAATATGAATATAGTTCGGCTTTCAATTAATTAGTGTTGTATATTTATCATAATGTCATGGTTACTTCTTTTTTAGTAACCATGCATTGGTGTTATGTATTCAGCACTTTGACATCACATATTGATCAGAACATGCATTTACTTCTTTCCATTACACTTGCTTCGCATATTTTTGTCGCACACTTCAACCATCCGGCTATCTAAATTTATTTTGGGTAAACACAAACAAGGCCTATGAGTGCCCCTTTTCTTGAGTTTATTTCTATGAAAACCTGATCCATTAAAAAACATGACTAAGTCAGTCTTGGAACCCCAGGGTGCTGCGGTAAATTACACAATCAAAATGTGCAATGCTTATGGTGATGTGAATGTGATAAATTTGTGAAGTGTTTAAATGTAGGAATGTTAGTGACAGATTGCACAAAAGACTTGTTGTAGGTAGGTACTAAGTAGATGAAATCAATTCTCAATATTTTCATAACAGTAGCTTTAATATCATAATTTATCCACAATCCTTTGCTGGTGAATCACGATGGTGGACTTCATTATACTGTGAAAAGAAAAATTGTAAATAGCATTCTCCTACATTTGTGAAGCTCTTTCATCTGGTATCATTATCTTGTTTGCCAAACTTCCCCTTTATTAATCAAAGCCTAGTGGAGGTATCCAAGCAAAGAATGGAATTCAAAATTTGTCTTTGAATTGTATTCCTTATTTTTACATATGATGCATTTTATAAGGATGAGTCATGACAATCTCTGCACACATTGCACTGACCTCTCATTGTGTAATAAATCAGGGGGATCATAAGCTACTGCATGCATTCACACAGTGCAATCTTTGTATTCTTTATTTTTATAGGATACCAGTTCTCAAAAGCCATGGTGGAAAGCCAATTTTTTCATAAAAGAGCCTGTGTTGTTTGGTACATGGGACGGTGTCTTCACATCATGTATGATCAACATATTTGGTGTGGTTATATTCTTGCGAACTGGTTGGATGGTGGTAAGTATTTTATTTATAGTCCTGAAATTTAATCTTATTTCAGGTTCCTGTACATTCTGGGCTTAATCACTAGGAATCAACAGGAAAAATAAAAGAATTTATAGCAGTAAATATATTGCTATATTTTTTATGCAATTTATTTTGAAACCCTAACTGGCTATCACCAGTGTATCATAATACATGTTGTTGTGCTCACGTTACACGAAGTACGGTCTAAGATTTAAGCTGATTTAGGCTTATCTAGCATATTTGCATTTCGGCTAGACCCAATTGCGTACACGCACAGGGAGGGCCAGTCGTTAGCACGGGCTAAGGGGTGCCATTAGTCGGTGACCTTTGGTAAGCCGCTATTTACGAATGAAAAACGAATGACACGCGCAAGGTTCTATTTCTGCTGCTGACATGTTTCGTTCTAATTTTGAAGCAACGTGCACAGGAACGCGAGAGAAGACGGACCCAACTTATTTGGATGCACAGAAACAGTATACAGCGGGCGTAACAGAATACAGTTTTATTAATGCATGTCGTAGACAGCAAACCAAATTTATTTTGTCTACAATTGGAGCTGCTGTACGCTCTACTACAGCGACCCGATCAGTGTGGAAGCGAGCGCGGAGTAGTGACTGGTGGAAAAGAGTCGCTATACGAACATGGGACACTTTTCACACCCAAAGGTCGCCACAGAGGGCGCTTAGCCCTGGGCTAAGCGTTCGCGCATACTTCGTTAGCCCGTGTTAAGGGTCTAGACCCCGTCTTAAATTCGGATCAGATTTAACCCGTACTTAGCATTCCTTAGCCCGTGCTAAGCGTTCACGCACGTTTTCTTAGCACGGGCTAAGGAATTTGACCTCTTAGCCCGTGCTAAGCGTTCACGCACGTTTTCTTAGCCCGTGCTAAGGAGCTGTGCGTGAACGCAACTAATGTGTATTAAGATTTGAAATGGTTTGTTGATAGCCGTCATTAAAAAAGCTTATTACATGTATCATACTTGACTGACTCAGTACCTTAGGTTCTCTGCTCCAAAAATTGTGATTTCAATGACTGGGCATTCCATGTTACAATTTTCGTTTACAATGTGTCAGTTTTAGAGGGAATATTACGTTTCTTTGTTTAACAAAGCAAGTTTCCTCCTCAGTGATTTCCTCACCCCCATAACATAGAATTAAAACTTTTTGTCGAGCTTGAATCTAAAATAGAAATCCCCCAAATAGGAAGGGTGGACACATTGTCAGGCATTGGCTCTAAGTCAATCAAGTACAGAAACATGAAATTTATCAGCAAAGCAAATTATATGGTTAAAACATGAATGGGTTTTAGTGTCTAGAAAATAATGCACCACTAATATATTTCATTGCACAAGCCAAATACTGAATTAAAGCATTGAATTAAATGTGTGTAGAAATTCATTTCTTTGTAGACTTCTAATTAGGCTGGAGAGGTATTTATTCGTAACCTCATGAAAGTGCTCATCAATATTAAAAACGGTTATGTCTATGATTCATCAGATCCTAGACAAGAAAAGAAACATTCAATAAACAAGTTTTGAGTTCCAGAGTGTGTTCAATGTTTATTGTTACTGTATGCGCTTGTTATTTTACTACTGGTCGCCCGTGAGCCTGTTTGCGTCTATTTTTCATAAGTTGTATATACATGCTTGTATATTGTCTCCCAGAAATATTTTACATAACATGTATGGGATACCATGGGGATATAAATGTTATTTTGTTCATATATTGGTTTGATATTTTGTTTAAGTCTATGAATATAAAACATGTTTTCTACATGTATATTTTATGACAAATTTGTTAACTTTCAAGGTAATCTTGGATGTCTGCAATGCAGAATCGATATGTGCTGTGCAAAACTGAACCTCGTATATTAAAATATCTGACTAACACTGTGTGTTTTTGCTGATGGGAAGTTAATTCACCTCAATTCAACCACACTTTGAGCACATAGTAGCTAAGCAATCAGGAAACTTCAGGAACCCAAATCAGGTCTATTGAGTGGGTTCTATATCGATCCTCAGGTATTTGACAGCTTCAATGACATAAACTACACAGGGTCACATTTTAAACACCCGACCTATATAGGGTCACATGTTAAACACCCGACCTATATAGGGTCACATGTTAAACAACCGACCTATATAGGGTCACATGTTAAACACCTGACCTATATGGGGTCACATGTTAAACACCCAACCTATATAGGGTCACATGTTAAACACCCGACCTATATAGGGTCACATGTTAAACACCTATATAGGGTCACATGTCAAACACATGTCCAATACAGGATCACATGATAGACACCTGACTTACAACATTCCCCAAGATTTGATTGCAAGCATTATTGTTTTATTAACCATGGCCATAGCAGTGTTATAAAACATTTTGTATAGTTACCTGTACTTGCAATGATCGATTGTGTCATCTAGTTTTGACCCTTGTGTAACTACATGTACATGTAACAATGATTCTATACAGTGTATGCTACTATTAACCCAGCTTCAGTAAACAAGACTTACGATATACTTGTTAAATTACATGGAAGTGCTAAAAGTACCAATCATGACAAACTTAACAGCATGACAAAATGGCAGGATATCGTGAATATTTCATCACTTTAACTCAGAACACTGTGTAAATTATTCATAGTTTTGAAAGGTTCAGTCATCCAGTCTGCATCAAATCTAATATAAATCATTTTAACCTTCAGTGAACTTATTTGTTTTAAAAGTCAGTTCAATAAGATAGACAAAATCAATTTTATCAAGTAATGACGATATACCGTAGTCAGGTTTCTATTATTATTCTATTATTCAAAATGTTTAAATAGAATATAAGAATTTGCATGTTCATTTATGTTGGTTTGCAATTTCATGTTTTAAATGTGTCTATATCAAAATTATGGAAAGAAATTGTCTATATGTACATGTCTCAGTTTAAATTCAGTACATAAAATTCAATAATAATTTTAGCTATATTCTTCCATAACTTTTGTAGCTTTGAAGCAAATAAATCTTGAAAAAAGGCAACTTACGCTAGATATTTAGTAAAAATTGATGGTAAAGGTGACCCATCAGAACAATTTTGTGAGACTTTGTGTAAATATTTGAGTTATTTAACAGTGAGAGTAAAATTTTGCATAGACCGGATGACATTACCGTATGTTTTATGTATTTTTCAGGGTAATGCTGGTATTGGTTTATCAATACTAATAGTGACTGTGACAATAATAGTGGCATTAATAGCAGGCTTGTCAGCTATTGGAGTGTGCGAAAGATGCCATGTACAGAGTGGAGGAGTGTATTTTCTCTTATCCCATGTTCTGGGAACACGTATTGGAGGAACCATCGGTATAATGTACAGCTTTGGCCAGGTGAGTGTCAGACTCTTACTACATTATAAATAGTCACAAAATCAGACCCCAGAACTTGAAGGTATGAGTAGCCTTTTAAGACACATAGATACCATTCTCTGAAAAAACAATAAACCGACTGCATATCTGTAGCTTTTGAAGCTTATATACTGGGCAGAATATGATATGTTGAAAAAACTGTCAACAAACAAGCTGCTCTCTGATTGGTCTGATTCTTACATGTTTGAGTTGAGTAGCCAATCAAACAAAATCTTTCAAGTAGCTTCGCAATCAATTTGAATATCTTGACACTTATAATTAATTGATTTTCTCCATTGATATTCAAAAAAAAAAAAGACATTGGATGTCTGTCATGAAAAAAAGGATTTATTTACTTGTACTATTAAAGATACTAAAAAAAATTTGGAAAACCAAGACTTATAGTTTTAAAATTGCCAATGCGATAAAAAACTGATGATGAAAATGTGTTATATTTTTGTCACTCCTTATTATCAGTTGTTTGCTGCAATAGTTTCCCCAACTCAGGATCATAGGTACTGAAAATACTATGATTCACATGGGTTTATCAGCCCAAAGTGATAATTCAATGAAAAAGTTGACATTAATTTAAGTGAAACTTGAATGAGCATAGACTTATGACTAAAATATCTTGTAATATCATCTACATGGTGTTTGGAATAGACTGAAATTTTATTTCTTCTGAGCTGTTTAAACCATGCAGCATATGTATAAACAAGAAAAGAAAGATGAATGTGATAAATAAGATGTTTTTAACCCAATGAATTCATTAGTGAATTGTTAAATGTCAAGTGTGTTATTAGGTTGAAAGTAGGGAATTTTTATTACCGATAGCAGTAAATTTGTACATAGCCTGATATTCTCATGAGCTTTAACTGTGATAATGTGGATGCCAGTTTACTTTAGACAATTTGTTAGGCAATATGAACTATGATAAATAATATTGGGGCACATGCCAAACATTTGATGGTAGCCTAGCAATTATTAATCAAAAATATTCCAATAAGAATGGTAGTTCCATTTGAAATTACATTATCTGCTAAACCCAAGCACACCAGGCACCATGAATTTTATTCCTAAAAATGTGTACAGAATAAATATTTAACATATGGTATTTATATTGCTGTCTATTTTTATGGTTGATGTAAACTTGCTGACATTTTACAGCAAGTCTCAGAAGTATTGGGGCAGCCAATTTGCAAACTCACTAGCGAATTGGCTAACTGCTTGGGTTTTGACTAAACAGTTGGCTTTCAAATCTGGCTGGTGCCGACTCGTGGTCGGGTCCACTCTGGGCAAATCTAAGTTGCATTAGGGGACATAGAATGTTTTTACGTAGCCTGGTAGGTACATGTCTAGATTTCCCTGAATGATTTAATTTGTTACAAGGCGTGCTAATCTAAAAGTAGTTTCCCTGGTAAGCCTGAGAATGGCCACAGTCAGCTGGCATAAAGCGATAATATGATAACACGTTTCTTACAAATCAGGAAGAAAATGACAAACATTCACATCTAAATGATCCGTCAGTGTAACATTAGCCAACCGCTAAAAAAATCAACGTCATTACACATAGAACACTTTCCCTGATATATTTGAAAGCGAAATCTTCATCCATGTGTCTGATTAGCTCCTAAAGTATGACGACCATCCCCTGCTGTGATATAGATTCGCCCCAAGTGGGCGTGACCACAAGAAAGGCGCCAGCGAGATTCGAAAGCCAACTGTTTAGTCAAAACTCAAGCAGTTAACCAATTCGCTAGTGAGTTTGCAAATTGGCTTCCCCAATACTTCTGAGACTTGCTGTAATCATGATAAGCTTTTAATTTGTAGTAAAAATAAAAGTGTTTTCTTTTACATGAATGGTATCTGTAGTGTATTATTTTATACCAATATACAGTAATCAATTGATATTATTATCAAACATTTTTGGTTTTTTAAAAGCCATATCCTAACATGACTTTGACTTTATTAGTTATAGTCATTCATGTTTTATTAGTTAAAAAATTGGTCATAGTTGGCTTTGATGTTCAAGTGGTTACACACTAAATCTATACTGGACATCTATACTGTCATGTGGACAATCAGTTGCTTAGAATGAGTGTTCCAGGTATTTAAAAAAATGTCAATTCCTATTTAATGTCATACTAAATCTCGAATATTTACTACCTACCAAGAATTAAATATGTGGGATAGAATTGTTACATCAGTTTATAAATTACAAGACAATTACCATCCATGTGAAACTAGACAGAAATGAAGTATTTTGTTCTCCTTATAGTGGAGACAGTGTACTCAAATGTTTATTATTTTTAAATTTTATGCTACAATTATAAATTGTCACTTGTATTTTCTTACATTATTGTGAGACAAATTGTCTCATGAGATTAAAAAACCTGAGACAAAATATTAAAACATGTCTTGTGTCTGGTGAGTTCTTTTCAATAAATTGGTTGAATGTAGGAGAGCTGAGGAAGAGGTTTCTATTACCAGGACAGCTAACTTAAAATTAACTTGTGATTTTAAAACATGTGGTTTTCAGCAAAGTGTGTTATTGATTGCTCTAGACTAATATGAGTAATTGTAATGATTAATAAGTAGATGTTTGTGGTTTATATGTTTTATTTATTATAACGTGTGCTTAATATATTTTGTGAAAAATAATTGTATTGCTTGCTTGCATGACTGGCAGTACTATATGTACCCAGCATAGAATTTGCGACTAATTTCCAGTGTGTCACTAATCCGTTTTGTGTTTTACTAATTCCAGACTGTTGCATGTGCTTTATATTGCACTGGTTTTGGAGAGTCTGTTGCCGCAACATTTGGATGGGTCGACAACACATGGGCAGTTCGTGGGGTCGGCATTGCTGTTATATTATTACTATTGGCTATTAACATAGCTGGTGTCAGATGGGTGGTCAAATTACAATTGGTTTTACTTGGAATACTTGGCATTGCTACGTTAGATTTTGTCATCGGTACCTTTTCACATACTGATCCAGGTAATGTACATTATTGATCAGAGCTGTCATCTGTCAACCTGAGTGTCAGTTTAGTCAGACACTCCACATTTTAGACAGGTGAAACATTTTATTTGACATGCTAAATTTCTACAAACTTGTCAATTTTGATTGAAAATTCCCTGTAACATACAAAATAAAGATAAATAACCAGCAGAAATAGACTACATGTCTGTGGCTACAGACTAGTGATAAGTCATTGATTTCTATATAGATTTTACACAGGCACAGGTCATTTCCTGGCTATAACCTTAAAAGGCATTTTCCTTAGAGCGTACAGTCAATCTAATGTTGTCTTCACGATCTCAATCTAAGGCATTTTTTGGAAATGTTGGCCTTGCATTTGGGGGTGTATTCGAAATAACCAAGTTCAAGCCCTGTTTGGCTGCAATTCTCAGAGGCGAACTACATTTGTACAACTGAAGTAAACAGTCAAAAACTCTCAGAAAACTGTACTTTGGGCAGTACCGTTGAGACTGTCCTGAACAACTAAAACATTTCGGCCATCATAGGGTACTGTGGGCATCATATTCTAAAAAATAAAATCTGCTCATTGATTTATTACTTCATGTCACAATTACCACAGACATTGCAAGGGTGTCTGCTGTGATTATGTTGCTTTTGTGGTAATGTTCTACTAACATTTATATTTAACAACTCATCAAA